ATCACCAGTGTTGATATGGAGGAAACTCGTTAGTAAAAACACGAAGTTTCCCATGTTCGGGGCCTTTAGCCCACATGAACAGTTTTTTGAAAAAGTTGTACAATTGACCCATTGCGCCATGCTGCCAGACAAGATGGCGAATTTGATCAGCGTCAGTCAGAATCCCATCTATCTTCAGACTGCGATCGTACAGACGAACAACGGAAGGGTTGAAATCTTCTCTATCCCTATCCACTTCGCCCGCGGATATTTTCACGATAAACCTTGTCGTCGTATTTGGTGGCGGACAGTATTGTGGACCGACGGGAAGAAGGCCTGGTGCTCGCTCTGATGTCTTAAATGGATCGTGTTTATTAGGAGATAAATGTTCTGTCATTATTGGTTTTCGAACATAGTTTACAACAATACTTCCATCAGATAAAAAGCGATCACACACCTTCTTGTGGTTTTTCCAATCACTTTTCTGGCATTTTCTTCCACAGTATTGAGCCGTAAAGCAATTGGTGCATTGCTTCAATTTGTTTTCAGGCTTTTTGCAGTAGTAGCATAACTTGGCTTCACTTTGTGCTGTTGATTGATTCCTCTTTTCTTTGTTATTCTGAAACTTATTTTCACTGGCTTTAGATAACTGTTCATCATCGCAAATCCCAGGTCCACAATTATTACAAATGTCATTGTATTCAATAACAGACATCCCGCTCGAACAACTGTTTTCTACACAAATGCCACCGCACTGGTTATTATGGAGTTTATTTTCCTTTATGACAGCCCGACTGGAAGTGATATCTATGCCCCAACGACTGTTTTTTAAGATCTTGTTCTCAATTATAGATACATTTGAATTTATAATCACTGTTATCCCAGACTCGTCGTTATCATAAATACGGTTCCCCTTTATTATCACATCAGATGCACAATTAACAACAAGAATACCACTCAGCTCGTTGTCATAAAGCTCACAATCTTCCACAACACATTCCTTTGCTTTTGGACCAATCAGCAATCCTTGCCGCTTATTGCCGTACATTCTACTTTTTCTTACAAGCAAACGTCCTCCTTCTCGCACTTCTAAAGCCACTCCGTTACCAAAAAACGTTGAATTTTCAACCTCCGCATCACCTACAACCAGCAGCCCACCGTTGGTGCAATTATAGAACTTGCAAGAATCGACTTTCAATTCACCAAAGCAAGAAAAAGAAGTGTAAGAATTGTTGGAACTCTGAAACGAACAATGAGTGAGTTTCACAACTGAGTCAGGTAGAAAATGACAGTTAGAAAAGCGAGTACGAAAACTAACATTGTAAGCTTTAAAAACTTCAGCAAAACCTACACAGTGATTATCATCAAATATTATCGAACATTCACCTTCACCGCCCACAAGAATGCAATTTTTAATGAGAAGCTCATTTACCTTACCATCACTAAGAAATAGGTCGCAATCAATAGTGTGTAAGGAAACAAGGTAATCACCGTTTTCTAGAATGATAACCGGTAATAGATTCTGCCAGTGATTCAAAGTTCTTATCGTCCTCAAGGCATTTGACAAACTTAAGGTATCGCGGCAAACAAACAGACGCTTCTCCATTGAAGAGCCAAATATTATCCTAAAAGGTTCAAAATTATGGAATAAATTCCTCTCGTAGTAATATGCTATCGAAGCTGCAACACACGCATCCTGCATATTCTTCAACTCAACAAGAGCCAGTGCCTTTTTCGCATAACCTCTCCAACATTTTGGGCATTGTAAAATGTATTCTTCTGCATCTTGCAAGGCTTCATCATATTGCCCAAGCTTAAGATATACCGATGCTCGATTACTTAACAACCTAACATCAAAGAAAGCTGTATTCTTTGATATGTCAATGACGTCAGAATAGATTTTTAATGCATCATTGTAAAACCCATTTTTAAACAAATCATTTCCTTTCATTCGCATTTCTTCCAACTGTTCAGAGGAAACTGAAGGGATTGGCATTTCCACACCGTCTCTAGAATCATCTTTCATGGTACTTGCTGGTGTGTTGCATGAATACTGTATTTGCCTGCGAAATAACTCGGGTAGAGGCATAGTGTGAGGAAAAAGGGAGCTTGCAGGAACTTGCTGATTGCTTAAATTAAAGATACCAATGGCAAAATTGACTACTTCTTTTGCTTCATCGTGCTTGGAGTTAGCACTCAAATGAACAGCACATTCGTACACTATTCTAGCTGTTTCAGGTTGAAATATCTTCACGCAATCGACGTTAGACTGTTTGAACATTCTCTTCAAATGTCTTACCAGATCGTAAGTATGTAAACATAGTTTATGCCAGTTGTAAAAACGCGACTGATTGCCACAAATAATAGACGGTCGTTCCTCCGCTTCATTTGAAAGAAGTTCGTCAGGAGAGGAACAATTTTGGAAAGCATAATGTAACATACGAATGGCATCATTAATGGATTGAAGTTCCTCTTCTGGATTAAGATTTTCCAGTATGACCTCCTGTACTAGGTGGTGGACGCTAAGGCTGGAAAATAGAGTTTCCTTAAAAAGTGAAAAATCTGTTAACAGTATGAAGACGAGTTGACGCCCCAAAGTTGTCTTCACACATTCACTAAATTCTTCATCTTCGATCGGTGGTTCGCCAATGTTGATAATATCTTTTTGAATCTCATTGGGATTTAAAAATGCTGATGCGTAGAGAAATCTACTGGCAGCCTTTCCATCATCAACAGTCTGTTTGATGTGCTCGAAATTAAGATGCCATGTTGTACGAACAGCTAGTCTTTCAGGCGAATCATACACTGAAACAGACGCTGCCTTTTGTCGATTAAGAAGACGAAGGCGCTGCGAATCATAATGCTCTAGGTATTGGGATATCGTACAAGGCAGTGATTTGATATAAGCTCCGGCTTGCTCAAGAGCTAAAGGTAACCCACCAAGCTGTTGAACTAATTTCTCAGCAACTTCATCCATTTCTTCGTCGTGAACGATTCTAATTCTGCGGAAAAGAAATTTCTTCCCTTCTTCAATTCCAAAACATTGAAGACTTAGGCAACATTCCTCGTCGAAATCTCTGATATCGTCGGCTAAACCAGTGGGCTTTCGTCTCGTGATAATTAGAACGTGACCGGACGCATCATGTTGCCAAGGTCCAGATATCAGCTTAACAATATTGGATGAAAGGCTTAATTGATCCATGTTATCAAGAACAATCAACCACGGGTTTTTATTCCGAGATATCTTTGCCAATGTTGCTGAAAAGGTAAGTCCGAACGAGTCACTCTGTGTACTGAAGCGCGTAGCAACATCGTAAACACTGTTTTCAAACGTAGTGTCATCTTCACCAGAAAACCAATAAACACCTCCAGTATAGAAATCCTTCCTCTGTTGTGCAAACTCGGTAGCCAAACTTGTTTTGCCCACTCCACCCAAACCGCACACAGCTGCGATGTTTACTTTAGGTTGACTGGTATCATCTAATGGAAGAAGATTTGCCAAGTCTTGTAGTTCAGACAAACGACCACCAAACCAAGGATTTTTCCTTGGAGCACGAAAGACATATGGGATTTCATCATTGGTGGTTGCAATTTTAGCAACTTCGTTTTTGACATCTTGAATGGTGCTTACATATTGATTATGCAATGTAAGCTGTTCCAGTTTAAGTCTATCAACATTTTCTTCAGTGAGTACTTGTCTGCGTCTTAGGTCACAGATCTCAATACTCAAGGAAGTTTGAAAAGTTTGTAAACTGTGAAGCAGCCTTTCCTGCAAAAAATGTAACATGGTGTAATTAATATATTGATGTGTTAGTTAGAAATTTAAATGAAATAAGAGACCGGCCATTATTGACGAGGGTGGCACCGAATAGTAATGTTTTTCTTGGAAACATTTTTGCTGATTTGGCCATTAAAAAGTCGAAAACGTTTTTAGCCAACCTCAAATATCAATATGCCAACAAATTATATTATCAATATAACAACAAATATTTATTATCCAAACATTGAGTTGTTTTGTTTTTCATTTACCCAACTTTTTACTTACTCAACATTGTGTTTACCCAACTTTTTACCTTTTCTCTTCGGTGCCACCCCCGCCATAAATAATGACCGGTCCCTAAGTAAGCCCAAGAACACCACACGGATCTACTGTACTGTTTGCAACGCTTTTAGCAACTTACCCTACAATAGTTTTGGTCAAAACAAGCAATGCTATACGCAATGCTATAGGGCACAAGGTTGATGATAAAACTCGGAAAATCACATCCTGTAACAGCACCTTGAGCAACGTCGACGATTTGTCTCTATCATGACTGTCGTCGTTGTCGTCAACATTGTTGTTGTTGTTGTTGTTGTTGTTGTTGTTGTTGTTGTGATTTATGATTTATTTAGCTTTACCAATTAGGGCAGGGTCACCACAACAGCATATGCCAATTACTGTGCGCACTTTTACCTAACCCAATCTGTCACTTTCCCTGTGGGAGGAAACCGGAGTACCTGGAGAAAACCCACGACTTTCGGCAGAGCGTTGACTTTTACTCTTTTATATGAAGATTGGGTTCTCACTGAGATTTGAACCTGCGGCCTTAGAGGTGAAAGGCAAGTGCGCTAACCACTTCGCCATGGAAGCCCCTTGTTGTTGCTGTTGTTGTTTCCCCCTCGCTGTTAGTCGTTGGTATTCTTTACAGTTGCGGTTTATTGCCACTACTTTTTCCTTTTTCCAAGAGCTAATTGCTTTGCGTAGTGATTGACCGATAATCGGTATCGGCGTCGGACGATTTTTGCCTTATCAGTAGAAAATCGGAATCGGTAGAATTATCTATATTTCCAACCGATAATTGAGAAAAAACACACTTTAAAAATTATATGCATTGCACGTTGATACATGTTGTGTTTTAACTCAATATGTTAAATTAATCTTTGGTTGCAGTAACGATCTTTGGTTGCAGCTAGCGCAGTAACATGTTTCGTTGGAAATTATCGTTCAAAACTTGACATGAATGACGTCGCCTTTACTCGGTCGACGATATTATGACGTCATTATAAAATCGGTATCGGGTAGATTGTGGCATGAATAATTGGTAATCGGTGTTAATCACTAGCTTTGCGTGTCGCTAGTGTTCGAGTTTTGCTGTTAATTAGATTCTTGTTTAGTTGTGGTGCGTTTTATTATTTTCCGTTTAAGTTTTGTTCTGTTGTGTAAATTGCGATTGTTTGTACCTTATCCGCCTTTGTGTCTTCATTAAACAGCGTGACAGACTCCTGAAGATTTCCAACTTCGGTTTGGATAAGATCGAGAAGCTCACAATCTACTGGGTTACCAATGCATAGCTGTATCCCTGGGAATTAAAATTGAAGTTGCAGAAAATGCTGCTTTTTGGTTATCAATCGATATTATAATAGAACGCCAAGAACGGGAATTTAACAAACTGAAACCATACTCCATACTCCAAAAAACGGGTTCAAGAGCCACCTAAGTTTTGAACCGCTGCACAAAGACAGCCTGGCACAGTTTCAAAATTTAGATAAATTCGGTGACTAAATGATATGTTGAATACATAAATGCACTAATTTTTGTAATTATTGTTTTCTTCATAAAGGGATAATCTAGTTCAGGGGCGGACTTAGCCTCATCTGCAAGGAGGGATGCAGGTTTTGCTGCCCATTCTCCTCTGCAGTCGGCAGCGCTGCTATCCCAACATTGCCATTATTTTGAGATAGCCGAATCTGCATGTTCGCCGTACTGTTATAAGTTTTATATTATTTTTCTTTATACAGTTTATATCGGCTTTTTATCACGTATAGTATGCGTGACTGGATAGTTTGCTTATTAAAGTACAATATATTTGAAAATATGGCTGTTTACATGTTTAATAGTAATGTTTAGGTAAAGCATTCTGAGTATTTTCTCGTGAGCTCACAAATCAATTTTATATCGTTTCAACAAAATAAACGCGCGCTAACAATAGAAGTTCCGCTAATCGCTATTCGAAAAGCAGAAATGTATGGTCAAGCAGATTTTTTAGAGTGATGCTGGACTCCATCATATGGGGTGCGCACCAGCTGTACCCTCATGGTAGATCCGCCCCGGATCTCGTTGTCACTATGAATATTTCAAAAATATATCTGCATATTATGACGACAAACCTGAAAATTTCAAGCACAATTACTGGTGGAAAATTCCAGTTTTCAGGCTTTGACTTTTATAAATTTTCTGGTGAGGGCATCCGTTCAGACACTCCAAGGTCAGTTTATAAATGTAATGATTGTTGTTTATGTACTCAGGTGAAATCATTTGAGATGATGCTACTGTAACTGCGTCCACACAGAGCAAGCTAAAAATTTGCTTGACCGTGGTGAGAATCGGTGTACAGTAGGAAACGTTGAAGCTTGGCGAGTGTGGATACACTCAGAGTAGCATGAACTCCAATAATTTCACGTGATTACATACATCATAATCATTACATTCAGGATCATACGGCACATACTAATATCAACTATTCGAACCGAAGTAAACCAAAGATCGCGGCTTCCATTCTCACCGCGGTCAAGCAAACTCGCCTGGCGTGGAAACACAGTAGAAATGACCTCAAACGTCAGTTCATATCAAAGACAGCCCACTGGTTCAATGACTTCAATCTTAAAATCAACCTGCAATCTCTGATTATATAAAATATACAGTATAATAACAGGGCGCATTATCAATACTTACCATTGTTCCTCCACTTATCAATTTCATCAAGAACAATTTTCTCTTCCACTGTTGTCAAACCTAGAGTCCTGACCAAGGATTCAATGTCGTTCAAAGCAGTTTGGAAAATTGGCTTGGTCCAATGTGAAAAATCGCAATGTGCCCATTCATTCCTAATATCCGACCTGATCTTCTTTGCATGAACTGCAGCACCACAAGTAATGAATGGTTGTGCTTCACATATTACTGACAGAACAGCAGAGGTATCCATGGTGTGGTCAAAACCAGTGAAACTTGCCATGAAAGGTTTCACAAACAATTTCGCCAAAGACAAAGGGTCTTTTACAGCATAATCATATAACTTTGCAGACTTGTGTACAACATTGTTGTTGACACTGTCATAGTTCAACTTTATGGTTGATGGCAGCAGGTTTTTCACAAACTTTCCAAACGTTTGTTTATCAATTTCTATAGGATGTTTAACCAAGGTCTGATGCCATTTAGGTATTTCAACACTGAGGACATCTCTTAGTGTAGGTGTCAAAACTTTGTTGAGACATATACCAATAACCATCCATCTTCGTTCTTCATCAGATATGTTCCTGTTCAAAGTTGAAGCGCCGGACCCAGGCACAACAGCTGTAGCCATTTTTCAATCTTAAAATAAACCGAGCGCGTTAATAGGTGGGAGGAGCCAGAGAGAAAGAATGCTTGATCATAGCAGAACTTAGTACAACTGTATATTAATTTACTGCCACAGCTAGGACATGTGAAAATCACTACCTACCTGTGCCTACATTGTCAAGTAAAACACCTCACACCTCAGTAAAACGTTCATATTATCCACTGCGTTAAAATCTAAAATATTATAATTGTATTCTATCTTAAACCAATACCAGCCGACAATTTCAAAAAGTATAAGAGGAAACACAATCCGAAGATTAGCGTCTTGAATCAAAATATGAGTCAAGACGAGAATGAGTTTGTGATATTTCGATTTTATTTCAAAATCAGTTACTTAATAGTCTGATGATGATTTTGATATAACATCGAAATATCACAAACACATTCTCGACTTGCTTTGACTCATATCTTGAGTTTGAAGATGCTAATAATCTTCGGATTGTGTTTTGTCTTATATTCTATCTTGCTTTGTGTAATATACAGTATCATAATTCTTGCATGTCCAGTACAAGATGCTAACGTACAGTTTACTGGTTAATTGCATGCTAACGGTGACATTCAGCAAACAAACTAAGTTTCCAGAAACGTTAAAACATACCATACTCAGGGGCAGTAAAGTTGGCCGAACTAAATGAACAATTTCAGCATTCTGTTTAAAGATTTGTTATCCTAGTTGTCAGTACCTTTGCCCCAACATAGACAAATCTGCTCATTTCTCGCAGGTTCTTATTCAATTATATTTACAGAATGGCGTGAAAATCTGCCTAACAATTAAAGACATGACAATAAATTGTCATAAATAATTGCAATCTTCCATCTTTCAATGCATTGTCAGGTTCCATTGTTTAAGTTTGAGGTAGTATGACATGCGCGTTTACTTTGTTTACACATTAATGGTCATGCCAGTGGACCTCAAAATACAAGATCTTTGTGATAACTGCAGTGTGACAAATGTTATAAATTAAATTGAATGTTTTTAATAATACATTACAATAATACGTTACAATTAGCCATTTCGAAGTTGATGAGTGGACTGGGGACGAGTGTTAAAAAGTGCCCAAATTAAGAAATGAACCAAATCACTAAAAAGACCACCTCAAAATTAGTAAGTATACAAAGTTTGAAGACGTTTACATGAATATCCTTCGAATAATAAGCTTTCGAAAATTATGAAATTACTGATTAAAAGATTGTTTTTGGGACGCGCGTGCCAAAAACAAAAATTGCAATACATTTCATAGTTTATTATTAGCATGACAAAATTACTGGATGCTGATTGGTTGCGAGGAGTACAATTATTTCATTAATTGTACTGCAGTACAATTAATGATTTTCCCAAAACAAATAAAGTGGCGGAAGGGTATTTTAAACACAAACGTGAACTGAAATTGCCCTAGAGGAACTACTGTAGATGAAAATACGAACAAAAGCACCAAATTTTGCCTGAACAAAAGAACTAAATGAAATACAAACAAAAGCACCAAATTGCGAGAGAATATGATGTTGACAATGGACAACTTGCATGTCAGACTAAATTTTAATCTAAGTAAAGAGAAGGGAATAAAACACAACAGTTAAAAAGAAAATAATGAAATTAGTAAAATTGCAAAATTTGGTTGCGAAATGTTGTAAAATGCAGAAAATATAACCTTGCGAAGTTTGCATATTTTCAGTATATTTGTATTACGTGCGGAAATTGTTACCATTTTCGGCTCAAAAATGGTAACAATTTCCACACGTAATACAAATATACTGAAAATATGCAAACTTCGCAAGGCTATCGTTTCTACATTTTACAACATTTCGCAACCAAATTTTGCATTCTTACTGATTTTAATAAGTTCTTTACGGGAATTTACTTTTTTTGGCCTAAATCAAAAATTAGTCTAACATGCAAGTTGTCTATTGACATTGAGAAGTACGTATCCAATTTTGTCATGCTAATAATAAACAAGTAACGGCGGCTCGTCCAATTTTGGCAAAATTTCCAAACATCACTCGTACTATTAATCCCTAATTGTACTCGCCATCGCATGATTACCTATACAAATATCGGATTTTCGAAAGCTTATTATTCGAAGGATATTCATGTAAACGTCTTCAAACTTTGTATACTTACTAATTTTGAGGTGGTCTTTCTAGTGATTTGGTGGTCTTTCTAGTCATTTCTTAATTTGGGCAGTTTTTAACACTCGTCCCCAGTCCACTCATCAACTTCGGAATGGCTAATAATACATCACGCTGCAATACACCCTACAGTACTTTGTTATTTTTCTTTTTCCCACCACAGCCCAGTTACTCATCATATAGGGAGTTATAGTGTTACGTTCGCGGGTG